TTAAGCCATACTTATTTTCTAGATCAAGGCATAAATGACAAAATGTTTCTTGATGCATTCTAAAAGAATTAAAACACCTTTTATCATGACCACTCAGTAATTCATTGATGCACATTTCTCCTGTTAAATAGGAAGCCTACATGGCTCCTTGTATAAATTGTTGGAAAAAGTGTGTTAAAAGTGCATTAAATGGTCATTTTGGGGCAATTATTTGAGTGGGGTCCACTTCCGATTTGGGTCAGGTCAAAGTGGTTTCGGATTGTCCTTGCTAAGGGCTACAATTCGATATATGGTACACTCAAAACAGATAACGGGTGAATGAGAAATTGTTTTCGAAGTTTACCCGTTGGAATGGAGAAAACTAGGAAAATGTGGGTTTTAGTGTGGGTTCTTTCCCACACCGAAAATCACAAGGGAATTTGAACCCTTTATAAAGGGAAACCCCCCTAAGGAGTTAAGATTCCTAAAGGGAAAGGCTCTCTCACGCGCGCAGGGGGGTGCGAATCAAATCCCGAAACCGAAGAACAAAAACCGTGACTTGCGTGTGCGGGCGACCTGCACACACGAATGCCGTCCGAAAATCTATCTTCTAAAGATAACGTTAATTTTTGTTCTTCCGGTACGTTCCTACTTTAATTTTTGCTCCATGCACATTGATGTCCAACGTTCATAACCCTTAAACAGCCATTAACACACCTTAATCCACCCCTATACAAGGCTAGTAGGTGCTTTGCAAAGACACAACTTTTCATACACTTCGTTCACGTATTTTCATAGCTAAAACAGCACCTCTAGCACTCCATACAAACTCCTTCGGTGTTCTGCTTTTGTTCACGTTCGTTGGAACTTTAGTTTGAGTGCTAAACTATTGTTCGAAGTCATCGTATCCTGGGAAACGATCGTTGCAACGCTCCTAGCACCCCGGGAGGCAACGAATACGTTTTAAGGAAATCGTGCGTAGCACGAGCTTTGGCTTATTCTGCTTCATCTCATTTCTTGTTTTTCTTTAAGTCATTTTATTTTGTGAGGAATCACCTTCAAATGGTCTCTTACCTTTTCTTATGCCATCTCTTTCAATTTGTGTGTAAAGCACTTTGAGCATTTCAACTTACTTATTTGCTTGGCAAGATGGACATTTGTGATCTCCATGCTCCATCTTGAGGGGGTGTTGCTATGTATTTTAATGGTACATTTATTTTCATGTTACATTTTTGGGTTCCCTAGTACGTACATGAGATAAGTACGACTAAGACTCTAAGAGGGGTCTGTTTCGGTTAGGTTGCTTGTACATTATTATGGCCATGTATTTTCCTATTTTTTAGTGCGGCAGTAGCGTACGTAAGAGATGTAATGGTTGCATGCAATTGTATATAAGCCAAAGGGCTCTTATGTATTCAACACATCAAATAAAATAACGAAAAATTATATTGAAATGGTCAAAATAATCTACTTTAGCGAATTCAATCACAATAGTAACTCCAATCTTACTTATTTTGATGATTAGACAATTCAATGTGCGAAATTAGAAATTACGTATTTGATATAAAGATTGATTAATGTGCCGAAAATAGGATTTATATACTAAATCATGTCATATATGTGTAAGAAAGATAATATCACAACGAATGAAGGCCAAAATAAAAACAATTTGGATGAAAAAAGAAGACAAAATAATATCTTCCAAAAGTGAAGAATTTTGACTTTGTACTCCATTTTTGAATGTTAATCATTTTATTGAACTTTGCACCTCATTGTGAGAATCATTAATGCGTGCACCATGTTTATAATGAATCATTTGACTTTACACTTCATTCTTTCACATTTTTTAGACCGATGAGGTGACATATATTACTCTCTACCTCCCAATCTAAGATTCTCATTTTCCTTTTTTGAGCGTCTCAGCTAAAGATTTTCATTTCTATTTTAGGAAACGATTAACACTCTTAAATGATAACTTAACCATCAAATATTAAAAATAATACATCTATAATATCACAGTTGTCATCAATGATCACTTTATATTGTAATCTTCAAAACTATTTCTCAAAGTAGACTTGAATTATTTTATGTAATTATTGTGTAAATAATTATGTCATTTTGCAATCGGGGCCTTTAACCGCGATGGAAATAATATAATTTTGGGAAAATTCTCGAAGGGCAAGTAAAATGTTTTAATTTGAAAATCGAAAATAAGAGCACAATTTTTTAAAACAAGAATAATAATTCAATTTTGAAATCCCCTAATACAAAATAGTAGTCATATTTTTGACATGTACAATTTTTTATGCTTTTTTAGGATAATATCTTTATAATTATTCTAATGGAGAAAATAGAGTGTAGAATAATACTGAAAACCGATGCATTGCTGTTATGGCGAGGTGGTGTGCGGATGGGCAGTGAAGAAACGTGAATTCTCAGCGAAGCAACAAGTTTTGAGCTACGCCCTCCATCATTTCGCCCCCCATCATTAATAGATTATACTTTCATTCTTTTTATAAAAGCATAAGTAAAATCAGAAACGGTTTTTGAGAAGCGGGTCATTTATAACTTCTAAAAAATCGATTTCAATAGCAATTTTAAACACTTGGAAGTATTTATGCACTTTTACCCAAACACTCTAATACGGAGTATATGTTTTTGCTTCTTGAAGGAGCACAAGTAGTTTACAAAAGTAGATCGGAACACCTCCTTATACAGGTAAATTTGGGTAATTGATAAATTCTTAAAAATAAGTGCTTCTGCTTTACATAAAATAACAGTTAGTGCTTAATAGTAACCGTCACTAGCGTTTGAAACATAATTGATTTTGAAAAATAAAAGTTTGTAGTGTTTGATAAAATATGTGTCGTTGGTGTAATAGAGAAAATAAAAAACAGTTTTCAACTTTTAACTTTTAAGTGTTTAATTTAAATAGAAGTTATCACTTTAAAACATTCTTTTCAACTTTTTTAAATTAAAAGCTGAAAATCACTTTTTTAATTTTTTTGCTAACATATCCTTAAGTTCGAACTGAATATATCAAATCCCAAAAAAGAAATTAGCTCTTATTTGCCCGGATTGAAATGAGCCAGTTCGATTTGTGTTTTGGGATTTTTTTTTAAATGAAAAACGTTAATTTAGCAAATTAGCTAGTAAATACTCTCTACATTCCTCTGTAGATGTTTTGCTTTTCATTTTAGATTGTCCTAAAATGAATGCCTTGTTTTTTGATAATAAATATGTAGTTTATATCATTCCACTATATTCTACCCAAATTTAAATAACAATTTTTAATTTTCAACCACTTTACTAATTATTGTGTCAAATTAAAACAAGATGTCCAATATCAAATTGGACGTAGTAATAGATGATACAAAGTACTACTTGTTCCAAAATGATAGTCCTATTTTACTATTTACTAGTAAACTCAATTCACTTTTTAATCTCTAATTCTACACATAAAATTTTATCATATTTGCTATTCTAAATATATAAATTTCAAATTGTGAATTATACTGGATACAATTTTGTAACTGAGAAAACTGGAAAGCTGGAAAAAGGAAAACAAAAAATTTGTTTACCGAAGAAAATTACTGGAAAACCTAAGAAAAGAAAGCAGAAAATTGTGATTACCAAACCGTTTTCAAAAACGAAAAAAATGAGGTATGTCACTCTTTTCTTTAATGAATTGAAGAAGTGACTTTTACTAATTTTCCAAATTTGAAAAATGCGGATGTTGCAATGCCGCTGCTATGAATTTGCATACTTACACTCAGTGGTGCATCCGATCCCACTCCAGTGTCAGTTCCAGTCCGCTCAACGATCCTACGATCCTTATCTACTCCGATCAACGATCCTACGGTCCATATCTACTCCGGTCAATGACCCGACGGTCCGATTCAGTCATTGACCCGGCGGTCCCTGTCCGGTCTAATCGACGACCGAGCAATCCCTGTCCGGTCCGGTCAATGATCCGATGGTCCCGGTCCGGTCTGGTCGACGACCCAACGGTCTCTGTCCGGTCCACGACCCAACGATCCATGTCCATGACCCAACTGTCCGGTCCGATCCAAGACCTGGCGATCCCTGTCTGGTCCGATCGATGACCCGACGATCTCTGTCCGGTCCAATCAATGACCCGACGATCCCTGTCCGGTCCAATCAATGACCCGACGATCCCTGTCCGGCCCGATTCACGATCAAGTGGTACCTGTTTAGTCCGTCGACGGGCGGGTAGTCTCGGTCTGACCCAGTATGCTCAATGACTCGGCGGTCCCCGTCTGTTTCGATCAACGACCCGAAGGTCCTTACCTGATCCGGTCACCGACCCAAAGGTTCGATCCGGTCATTGACTCGACGGTCCCTCTCCCCCCGACGGTCCGATCCGGTCATTGACCAGGTGGTCTGTGTCCGATCTGATCGACGGCCACGCAATCCCTGTCCGGTCCAGTCCACGACCAGGCAGTCCCCCTTCCAGTCCGGTCCACGACCCCGTGACCCTTTTTCGATCTGTTCTACGACCCGACAGTCCCTGTCTTGTCTGATTAATTTCCCAACGATCAGTGCCATGTCCGATCGATGATCCGACAGTCCCCGTCCAGTCCGATCTAGGACCGTTGAGATCGACCGGGCCCGACCGGTTTTAGTCCCGACTTTTCTATACGTGGGACCTGGTACCCTACTTGGGTTGTACTAGGTTTGATTTCGGAGTGGGACCGTACTTTCAATTTTTTGGAGCCGCGTGAAAAAATTTGATAAACATGTTTTCAGATTTGAAAATGAAAAACCAAAAAATGAAAACAGAAAATTGAAGATTGAAAAAGTGAGAAATGACATCAGAAAATTAGAGAACGAAAACAGAAATAGAAAACTGAAAAATATTTCTGTTAATAAACAGACTATCTACAAAAATATGCACACTAAGTCACTAACGGATGAAATTATATACTCCGTATATACCTAGTGGTCGACAAAATAAATTTTACATGAAGACTTTTATTTTAGGTGGACGTACCTTGCACGTCCTTTTGTAACGCGTTCGGCTCACTCCCTTATAAGGATAAACCCCACAGCATAATCTCAGGCGAGAGAAAAACGATTATCTACATGTCTATGTGATCCCTTGCCGGAGATCTCCCGGCCATGACCACAACAGCGGTGGGCCACCCATCGCCGCCTCCCATAAATCTCCCCACCTCCGCTTTCTCTGCCGGTGAATTGAGTGACGCCATTCCAATTTCGCCTATGGAAGCCGCACACATGTTCCACAACGGCGAGGAGGCGATGGACGACTTCGACTTCGATTTCTCATTCGAAGATTTCTACCTCCCCTCCGACAATTCCCTCGAAAACGATTTGCTACCAGTTTCGCTCGACCAGGCTGTTTGTGATCCTGCCCTGGCGCAGCACTTGGGGCCCGCTTGTTTCGCGCAACAGGGATCCGGCTGTGAACAGATCGGGGCGTTTAAGGACTCTGCTAGCATTTTCAAGTCGTCGTCTGCAGAACTCTGTCATTTCTCGGCCGATCACATTGCAGGTGATGCCGTCTTTCTGAATCCTCCGTCACCGGAGCTAAGCTCCAGTGGCTCTGGGGTTTTGTTTCTGAATTCTCCGGAATCGCAGCAGATTTGCGGAGATATCTCCGGGTACCTGAATGTTCCGTCGCCCGAGTCGAATGGGTCTAATCGCGAGGCTTCTCAGCGGTCTGGTAATGAAAACCAGGGCTCGAGTGGTGACGTAGTTTTGGATTGCCCTTCTCCAGAGTCCGCCGGACCAGAATTTGTATCCACAGACTCAGATAAATCGGTAAATTCCTCGACTGACTCTGGAACTGCAAATTCGATTAAGATTGGTGTGGTTGACCAGAAATTCAAGTTAGAGAACGTGAATGCTGATACTGTTAATAACAATAAAATAAATAACAGCTGTACTAACTCTATGCTGAAGAGGAAAAAACATACTGAGGAGACCAACAATGGGGAGTCTCGGAGTAGCAAACATAGAAAACCTGTTGACTATATCAACACTGAGAATAACAGTGAGAATAATGATAATATCTCTTGTGGAGAGGAAGAGAAGAGGAAAACTAGATTAATGAGAAACCGAGAGAGTGCCCAACTCTCAAGGCAACGTAAGAAGCATTACGTTGAGGAGTTGGAGGATAAAGTGAGGAAAATGCATTCAACAATCCAAGACCTGAATGCCAAGATATCTTATCTAATGGCCGAAAATGCTGTCTTAAGGCAGCAGGTGGGTAGTAATGGAGTTGCTGTGGCACCCCAAATGGCACCCCCACCCCCGGGGATGTATCCACCCGTAATCTATCCATGGATGCCATGTGCACCACCTTATATGATCAAGTCACAAGGGTCTCAGGTTCCTTTAGTTCCGATTCCAAGGTTGAAGCCTCATAAAACAGTCTCTACACCTAAAAATAGTAAGAAAGTGGAGAATAAGAAGCATAACGAGGTGAAGACTAAAAGCGTTGCCAGCATTAGTTTCATTGGCTTGCTGTTTTTTATATTTATATTTGGTGGGTTGGCCCCCACAATGAATTCAAAGTATGGGGGGATCAGAGAGGCATTTACAAGGAGAGATGGTTATACATATGAAAAGCACCCCGGAAAAGTGTTGGCTGCTAATAATGAAACTGGCCATGGTGAGAGCTATGATAATAGGAAGTATTTTAGCAACATGACCCATTTTGGTGGTGGGGAAGATCACGGAGATGGAGGAGTAAAGAGACACAGCGAGAAAGAGAAAGATGAGTTTGTTCAATCGGGCAATGGTAGTGCACCCCTTACGGCCTCCTTATATGTTCCCAGGAACGACAAGCTTGTGAAAATCGATGGTAACTTAATCATTCATTCTGTTATGGCAAGTGAGAAAGCCATGGCGTCTCATGGTAGTGCCAAAGAAAAGGAGGGGAGCAAAGAGACAGGTCTGGCAGTTCCTGAAAACATGGCCTCTGCTATCACTGGTGGAATACATCCTCAATTGTATCAAGGTGCAGCTGAGCATCAGAGGGCACTTGGTTCTGATTCTATGGGAAAAGACAATATGAGGTCATCTGGAGCTGCTGATGGTAGACTGCAGCAATGGTTCAGAGAAGGCCTTTCAGGTAATTAAAAAACATTTCAGAACTTATGATCATTTCAAACCATCTTAAGCCCGTTTTGAAGGCATGATTTCGACTTATCAACCTTGTTAACTACTATTTTTACCAGGTAATAACTGCCGTTTGGCATGCATTTTTCCGGCTTATTAGCCTAATCCATCATATTTTCCACCAAGCACTAACATATTTCACTGCACTATTAATTAAAACGACACTACAACCTTCATCCTTAGATATTATTTTCAAGTTTATCAAAAAATATATTTTAGATAAATACTTTGACAATGAATCAAATCCAATCAATCAATTTGTTTCAGTCATCTTCAACTTACCGAGCAATTAAAGTCTTATATAATGGGCTCTAATTTATTTCATTTTTGGTGTTTGAATAAGCTGAAAATGAAAAAATGCGGTGAAGGAGTTACTTTTATTTATGAAATGGGTGAAATACTGAAATTGATACTTCTAGTCTTCTGCCTTTACATTTAGATATCATTTTCTTTAACTTGTTTAGATAGGTAGATATGTACTTGTATAAATTGTTTAGACAGTTCAGTCTATTCATCCATTTCCAGCCACAACTTTATCACCCTCAGCCACTTCAGCCATTTTGAGCCTATACAAGCTCTTAGTATTGCTATTAAAATATTGATTTTCGGCTTACATATGGTTCATTCATGTCATATTTTACTGCTCTTAGGACCTATGTTAAGCTCAGGAATGTGTACAGAGGTATTCCAGTTTGATGTGTCATCGGCCATAGTTCCAGCCAGCTCCCTGAGGAATATATCTCAGAATGCCAAAAAGGGGAGAAATAGAAGGATCCTCAATGGTTTTGCGGTTCCTCTTTCCGCATCATCTCACAACATATCTGCTGAAACAGTGGAAATAAATGGGGAGGGAGAAGAGCTGAAGGGAAACAATTCACTGTCTTCTTCATCAATGGTTGTTTCCGTGCTTGTCGATCCGAGGGAGGGTGGGGATGGGGATGCTGATGGGGTGATGGGAAAGAAGTCTCTCTCTCGGATATTTGTTGTCGTGTTGGTGGATAGCGTAAAGTATGTAACTTACTCGTGCATCCTTCCGTTAAAGGGATCGGTCCCTCATCTAGTCACTACCTGAGGAAGGAAAGAGGTGTTAGGTTAGTTAAACTCACCCATCTTCTGAAGCAATTTTGTGGAGAGCTTATATGCTGGGACGATGTTGATGATAGAGAATGACAGAAGTGGAATAGCGTAATTTATATATTTAATAACAATGAGGACTTTTATCTTCTTCTTTATATTAGCTTCTTCTCATGTAACCTTGCACCTGATACAAGAGACTAGTTCTAAGACTTCTAACTTGTGTACGATATCATGTGTAATTTTCAGCTTTTGTATTTCATATATGCAGCTTCTATACGATCAACTCTTGATATACTCCATTTGGTATTTCTTAATATAAATCACAATATAGAAAGTATTCGTGATGCTTCTTATATACTCAATTGTGTCATTAAAGACTTGTGTACGTTTGTGGTTTCCATTCATTGGTAGGAACAGTCACAAGCCGGTTCTGGTTTGAATTTGGTGAAATGGTAGGAGTCGGTGGCGGAGCCACCTTAGTTCAAAGGTGTTCATATGAACACCCAAAATTTTGAAAAATATGTTAGTATACATATATAAAATATGTTTAATTATTTATCGTCTTTTCAAATTTTAATTATAGAAAAAACTGAACACCCAAAGGAGTGAAATTGGGCCGGTTCGACTCTGGTGAAGTGGATTGATGGGGCTAACATCGTAAGGGGTGCACGCGGGCTGGGTTAAGCTAGTAGGAGCTGGATCCGGATATTCTGGACACTGGTTCCCACATGGTCTACCACTCTATCAGGGCAGTTACGGACTTACGACCCTGCTCTGAACCGATTGTTTTTTCCTTTAATCATAATACATGATTATATAATATAAATAAATACTACGCATGTTATTTGCAAATAATCTAGCAATATTATATACATACATATATATGGTATTTCTTGGTATATAATCTAAGTATATTAATTTGTAGTTAACTCGCTACTCAGTGGCAACTCGGTCAAGGGCCGAGTAACAATTAGCACCGATTACTTGGGATTACTCAGCCATGTATTAATTTAAATTTAAAACGTAAATGCCCCAAAATTCTAATAATATCTTACTCTTATACTACGTAATTCTTTAAAATGAATAAAATACTAATATCCTAAAGATGAAGTAGCAATAAATTCCAACGATCATAAGCATTCTAATGAGGGGCGACCCTAGAGGGGTGCAATAGGGGCGGGGGCCCTAGGCCCAAAAAATGTAAAACTTTTAGGCCCAGTCTTAAGACTTTGTATTAAGATTTAAGAGCGAGTAAACTGAGTTTTTGGGCTATATCCACTAATTTCATGCAACCCAGGGAAAAGAATTGTGAAGGCGTAAACAATTTTAAATAAAAGACAAGACTCTCCGTTGGGTTGGTGCCTAGTTCATTCCTTGGGAATTGTCATTCATTCCTTCATTCCTTCATTCCTTCAAAGTTCAAACCTCAATATTCCAATTCCTTATAATAAACTTCCACTAGTCAATAGTCAATAGACCATAATAGTGGACACATCAATTCATTGAGCCTTTTGTCCTTAACCCGAACATAGGATTCAAAGGATGTTTTTACTTGAACTGTTTTCTGTTTCAGACCAGACCAAACCAGCAAATTAAAGTCAAAGTAAAAACATCATAACTTCTGATAACCTCGAGTCCTATATACCTCTTATTACTCTTATGTCCTTGTATATTTTACATTTATGCACTTACTTATTTCACTATCAGTTATCATAGCTTTTCACCCATTTTAGTTTTCATTGAATTTACATTTTCATTGATTAGTCATCTAGTTGTTGACTTATTGATCGTGAAATTGCAAATTCAAATTTATACTTCCTCCGCCCCGAATTGAGTTGAAATTAGTGAATTTTAAGGTTGACTGATGATAAAATTAAATCATCCTGTGATAGTTTTAAAATTTCTTTGGTAAAAAAATTGGATTTTCATTAAATTTGTAAATATAATTAATTTAAAGGTGTAATAAAAATGTTCTCTAACTGGGATTTTACTTGTTTAATACAGCGAGTTATAAAAGTTTTTTCTTTATTATTACAATTTTAAAGTATTATTGTTTTGCATTAGATTAGACAATAAAATAATTTTTCAATTTTTTTTTTAAATTAGGCCCATTATAAATTATCTGCCCCTAGGTCTTGAAACTATCAAGGCCGGTCCTGATTCTAATTCCTAAACTAATCTTCATTAGGTTTAGGCTAAAAGGTCAAATAGGTACATGAACTAACTTAATGTGTTCAATTAGCCCCTTATATAGAAGGTTCTGTCCGGCCGTCGCCAATTGGGGAAGTTCCCGGTGGAATTTTTTGATGCAATTTTTTGGGCATTTTCTTCATTAAGTCTAGTTTATTCATACCAAATTTCAGCTAAAAATTCAACCGGGAAGGCAGTCAAACGAGTTTTTGAAGATAACTGCGCAGTTAAACAGCGCAGTACATTTCGGAAAATCATTTGGCTGCCTTTCCGATTTAATTTTTATCTTAAATTTGATATGGGTAAACTAGACTTAATGAAGAAGATGCTCAAAAAATTTCATCAAATTTGTTTACCGGGAACCGCCCCAATTGGTGACAGTCGGGCAGAACCTCCTATATAAGAGGCTAATTGAACACTTTAAGTTAGTTCATGTACCTATTTGACCCTTTAGCCTTAGGTTTAAGATCCTCATTTTCTTCTTTATCCTCCATGTTCCGGAACCTAGACTGACTTTGTAATCTTATTTTTCAAAATTTTAGAATGATACTAATTATTCATAAGTTCCATGATAGCTCAATTTAGTTTAACCTTTTTCGATTTAACCCCAAATAGATTAATTTTACTGGTTGTTGAGTAACTCAATGAGTCAACCTTGTCACCGAGTAGAAAAATGGCCGAGTACTTGGCATGTTACCTCAAAAAAATGGAATAGTGCGAATTGGAATACTATTTGACAAGTCTCTACCCTGAGTAGCAAGTATTCGGCGATTAGATAACACAATCAGGGACAGACCTATAACCAACCCCAGAGGGCCATGACCCCTCCCACTTTTTTATTTTTTCATTAGTAGCATTAGTTATTTTATTATTGTCCCTCCCAAATATTTTACTCCGTATTTTAGACTGCTACTCCACATACATGATACCATCCGTTTCTAGCATCAAGTCATTAAACATACGATTGTTTGCTAGTAAGGTGTAGTAAAAGCATCTGGGTATTATATTATACAGAGTATGAACAAAAACGAAGGAAATAAGTTATTGCAATTTATGAACATGTATTTAACGAATACTAAGGAAATCAGTTCTTGCAATTTATGAACATGTATTTAACGAAATCTTAATTATTTAAAAAAGTGCTAGTATATACGGAGTATTGTCCTAGTTTTGAGATGAAATTGAGAGCTTAAATTAACTTATTTTTCTGAAAAAAATCATTTTAAGGCTCTTTAGTGTTCATTTTAACATTTAAACATTTAGTTATACAAACTTATTTTAGAGTCCAGGTATTAAACGAGCAGAGTGCTAATTTACTCATGTATTTTTGGAGGTTTTAATGAATACTAATACATTATTTAATGTTTATTGAATTTGTATTTGTATGTTATTATTTTTTAATTTCACCCGGCCCCCGTTCAATCATATCCTAGCTCCATCCCTCAATACTATAATGGCCTTGTTTGGTAAATGGTTGTTAGCTGTTGCTGGTAGCTGGTTGTGTCAGCTGTTTCGAAACAGCTGGTTGTGTTAGCTGTTTTGACCGACTGGTTATGTTGGCTGATTATAAATAACTGTTTGGTAAAATTGGCTCTTTCGAAATGGCTGATGGAGTGTAAATTGAACCAGCCAAATGAAGAAGCTGCTCCCCTTAGCTTCTTCCACAATCCATTTTTTCAGCTTTTCAAACTCAACAAGCTAATTTTAAAAGCCATTTACCAAACATTATTATTAGCTTCTTTGACTAATCAAACAGTTGAAATGGGTCAAACAAGCTAAAAGCTGGCTGATAAGCCATTTGCCAAACATACCCAATGTCTTGCATATTAGTTTTTCTACTTATTTTGAACAGACTTCCACGTTTCATTAATAAACACATAGTTTTATTTTCATTTTGGTAGTTCTCCCTGCTAACTTGGATTGTTTTTTGTGTATTTCAAGAGCAGAAGATGTGTGTTTTTAATGATTTATCCCAAGAATTGTGAAGATATTTGTGCATTTTTTTCCAATTAGTAAGCACGAGATGTAAGTCACATTAGATTAGACAAGAAAATCCAAAACAAGCCAAAGTGGATCATCATCCCACAAGTCCAACTTATGTTAGAACCGAGTTGGCTAAACAAGACCAAACCTAGCCATGCATACAATTCAAAGAGAGGCAGACTCTTTGAATTAGATCCAAATGACGAGTCTTAAATTAACAATAGGATATCACTTAAGATCACACTAAATAGGACCAAATCGATCAACCATGTAATTGCATCCAAATGAATTAGATTGATTGTTTGGTTTGATTAAATCTATTTTGATATGGTCCATTTAACTACACTTTGGTCTGCTTAAATACGGTTTGTTTTAGACTATTTAAATTTGGTAGTCTAATTAAATTTGATCTGATATAATCTAGTTTGGAATAAAAAATAAGTCGAACATAGTTCAACTCATATTCATACTTCTCAATGAGACTATATTCACTATTGAAGAACAAGAGAACAAAAAGAAGTGCGAGAAAGAGAGATGGAGCCCAATATCAGTTGTGCATACTCTAAATTTGAATTACTTCTATCTATCCGACTCGGTCAATCTTTATCCGTCCAAACCAGGTTTCCGCATAAGACTTGGGCTGACTTCCTTTTTGATTAAATAGTCTTCAGGTCCAATCATAGGAGTAATTCTTGGTCTTGACACTTTCCAACTTTAAACAATTAAGACCCTGTTTGATAACTAATATTTTCAACTTATCAATCTTATCAATAATTTTAGATTAGAAAATTAGTTTATGATATAAAATCAAGTGGTTTTGTGGACTGAATTATACATTAATCAACTTAACTGAGTTTTAAGTTACTTTTATAATCGATTTGATTGAAATTACTGTATAAGATCAATGCAACTATTTTCATAAGTTTTTTTCTTTATTCATCCCCCAAAAATGTGTCAAAAATAATATTTCCGAAATCAGCAAATTAGTGAAGTTTGTCCATATAAAACTAAAATCTCATCAATTTTAACTGGGGTTTAATGCACCAAATCCCCCTGTGATATAGATATTCGGCGCATTAGCCCTCTGTGATTTAAAAAATGCGTCAAACTCCCTTGTGTTTTAATTAATTATGCGCAAAATCCCTTCTATGAACAAATTCAATTGTCAAACATAAGAAAAATGATTAACATTTTTGTATAATTTAGAGATTTTGACATATTTACTTGCATATTCAATCAGAATATTCGGAAAAGTGATCTCAAAATCATTAAATTTAGTCATAAAAGGGGTTCTGTGCATGATAAATTAAAACACAAGGGAGTTGACGCATTTTTCAAATCATAGTAGTGCCTAACGCGCCGAATTTCTATATCGGGGTTTGGTGCATTAAACCCATTTTAATTGATTTCAAATTTTCAATGTTTCCAAGTGAGTACTAAAAATACAATACTCCATATAAAACATGCCAAATTAAACGATTTAAAGTTATTAGCCCAAAGTGTTTGATCCGGTCCAATTCATCCGATCTACCATCTCTCTCGATTGCTCATCTCCCAGCGAGACGGTCGTACGCTAGATTGCTCTCTCCGTTTCCATCTCCTCTTCCCCTTAGGTCGGACGCAGTCTACACCACCACGCCGTTCGTCTAATGTCCTGAGGTTAGTCGGTATTACTATCTGTCTTCTTATTTTATCTCATCTTGTTTTGTTTCTTCCTACACACCTTATTTTATCTTAGATCAAGCTTAGAAAGTTAGAGGGTCTTGTTGAGGTTCGTTCTTTATCTGTTCTTTCATTTAAACGATGAATAATTTTCTAAATTAAGAACTTGTAATAAGCTGTAATTTAGTGACGTCACCATTTTCAGGCGGGAACAGTTATCCCAGGCGGTCCACTTTATATATATATATATATATATATATATATATATATATATATATATATAGAGAGAGAGAGAGAGAGAGAGAGAGAGAGAGAGAGAGAGAGAGAGAGAGAGAGATTGCGCAAGATCAAGAGTTTGTACTCCATTGTGTAGTTGTAGGTGCTTGCCGAACTGTATTGCTATCACCTATTGCATCTAGCTACATTTTCTTGGGTATTTTCTTAATGCCCACAACAAAAAAGAAGAAATTGCAGAACTTCTGATGTTGTGTTTTCATGCCGACCCAACTTATAAATTTATATTGACAAAGCACGCAAAATGTCACCTAGAAATAGAAAGAGTTCTATGACGAGTTACGCTGGCCACCTTTGGAGAATGTATAAGCTACACAGTGATTTATAAGGGTTTCATTAAAATCATTTAGGCTGTTGCAGCACATGCGCAAATTTAGAATCAGCATTGGACGATAAATTATATCCAAAACTCCCAAGGGTACTTTAATTTTGTTTATACCTCTATTAAATGTTCTATTTCTTACATTTGGAATAGTCAAGTCACCTACCGCCAGAAGTAAAAATCAGTTATGTCAGGAAAACTGTACAGCATTAGTTTAGCTGAATATTTGCCTTTTACACACACATTTGTATGCATGCATGCATGCGTGTATGTTATATATTATATACAGTGTGGATGATGCGTTGGAGTAACCATACAAAGCGGTGGAGTCTTGGACATTTCCTTTATCATCCATGTTTCATCTAGGTAGCTGGCGGAGTAACTAAGTGTTTTGTGAGCTGCTAGCTACTGTATATGAAAATAATGAAATTGAAAAAGGCTGAAGTTTTATTGGTACATTTTTCTTTATAGGGGTAATTTGACTTGAAAAGTGAGTAGTTCATTGTTTATTTCATCATGTGAAATTTATTGATGCTGACAATGCATGTATATGTATGCAGAATTTGGTTAGAATCATGGCTTCTAAAACTAAGAGGAGGACTGTGACGGAGAATGGCGATGCAGCTGAGGACACTGTCCTTGTAACCATGATAAATAATGGGGACGATTTAGGTCCTTTGGTAAGGCATTCTTTTGATGGTGGAAAACCAGAAGCCCTCCTACAGCAGCTTAAAAACGTTGTCAAGAAGAAAGAAGTTGAAATAGAGGAGCTTTGCAAACTTCACTATGAGGATTTTATTCTTGCTGTGGATGAGCTTCGTGGCGTACTAGTTGATGCTGAAGAGCTCAAAAGTGAACTTGCAACTGATAATTTTAGGTTACAGGAAGTCGGAAGTTCTTTGCTATTGAAGCTCGAAGACCTTCTTGAGTCTTATTCTGTTAAGAAGAATGTTACGGAAGCCATTAAGATGTCCAGGAACTGTCTACAAATACTGGAGCTTTGTGTCAAGTGCAATACCCACATCTCTGAAGGACAATTTTACCCTGCTTTGAAAGCTCTAGATCTTATTGAGAAAAGGTATTTGCAGGACATTCCTGTCAAGAAGCTCAGGGCGATCATTGAGTCAAGAATACCACTTATAAAGTCACACATTGAGAAGAAAGTATGCACTGAAGTTAATGAGTGGCTAGTTCATATAAGGAGTAACGCCAAGGATATTGGGCAGACTGCGATAGGATATGCATCATCAGCTCGTCAGAGGGATGAAGATATGCTAACTCGTCAAAGGAAGGCTGAAGAACAGAGTTGCTTGGGTTTGGGAGATTTCACGTATAGCTTGGATGTTGAAGAAATAGACGAAGAATCCATTTTAAAGTTTGATCTCACACCTCTTTACAGAGCGCACCACATTCACAAATGTCTTGGAATTGCAGAACAGTTTCGTGAATACTACTACAAAAACCGCTTCTTGCAGCTAAGTTCAGATTTGCAGATATCCTCATCCCAACCATTTCTTGAATCCCATCAGTCCTTTTTGGCTCAGACTGCTGGGTATTTTATTGTTGAGGATCGCGTAATGAGGACTGCTGGCGGGCTTCTATCACCAAGTCAACTCGAGACGATGTGGGAAACGGCAGTGACTAAAGTTACCTCAGTCTTGGAGGAACAATTCTCACATGTTGATAGTGCCAGTCAACTTCTCTTGGTCAAAGACTATGTCACTCTTTTTGGGGCAACCCTCAGACAGTATGGCTATGAAGTAGGCCCAATTCTAGAGACTCTCAATGGCAGTCGTGAAAAGTATCATGAACTTCTTTTGGCAGAGTGTCGACAGCAAATCATTGACATAATCACTAATGATACATACGAACAGATGGTGATGAAAAAAGAGTCGGACTACCAATCAAATGTATTAGTCTTCCATCTTCAGACCTCTGATATAATGCCAGCATTCCCTTTTATTGCTCCCTTCTCTTCGATGGTACCTGATTGCTGTCGATCGGTTAGAACATTCATCAAGGACTCGGTTAATTATTTATCTTATGGAAGCCAAATGAACTTCTTTGATTTTGTTAAGAAGTATTTGGATAAGCTTTTAATCGATGTCCTAAATGAAGCAATACTCGATACGATCCATAGTGGTACGACCGGTGTGTCTCAGGCTATGCAAATTGCTGCAAACATAGCTGTTCTGGAAAGAGCATGTGATTATTTTCTCCAACATGCTGCCCAACAATGTGGGATACCTGTCCGTTCTGTTGAAAGACCTCAAGGCAGTTTGACCGCCAAGATTGTTCTCAAAACATCAAGGGATGCTGCATATCTTGCTTTGTTGAGTTTGGTAAATGCGAAATTGGACGAGTTCATGTCACTTACTGAAAATGTGAACTGGATAGTAGAAGATGCTTCTCAGCAAGGGAATGAATATATTAATGAGGTTCTTATTTACTTGGACACTCTAATGTCCACTGCTCAGCAAATTCTACCTCTAGATGCTCTTTATAAAGTTGGAAGTGGTGCACTTGAGCATATTTCCAACTCAATTGTGGGAGCATTTCTTAGTGACAGTGTGAAGAGGTTCACCGCTAATGCTGTTGTGGGCATAAACCAGGATTTGAAGGCATTGGAAGCTTTTGCTGATGAGAAGTTCCATAGCACCGGGTTGAGTGAAATTTATAGTGAAGGGAGTTTCAGAGGATGCTTGATAGAGGCTAGGCAATTGTTAAACCTTCTGTTGAGCAGTCAACCTGAGAACTTCATGAATCCTGTGATAAGGCAGAAGAACTATAATGCTTTGGACTATAAAAGGGTTGCAACCATTTGTGACAAGTACAAGGACTATGCTGATGGAATATTTGGAAGTCTTGCAAGAGGAAATGCTAAGCAAAGCGCCCGGAAAAAATCCATGGACATGCTGAAGAAAAGACTGCGGGATTTTAACTGAGAAATCAGAATATATGGATTAGAAAGTAGTACCAAAATTCTTTTTATTTTGGGTGAAGATAAACAAAATTCTTTTATTTTCTGGTTATTATTTAAAATTTATTCAATTTTGACCTGAAATTTCATGTACATCTGATCCCACCAGGAGTTGTCTCCTCATTCCTCCCTTTTACTTGTGGGTGCTGGTATGAAGTAGGAAAATAATGCTGTTTCTGATTTGCTGGGAATTCATAATGTGTATGACAAACAATTTTAACTGAAGTGCAGAGTAAGGTATCAGTTGCATCATGCAGGATTGAGAAAGGGTGAGGAAGGTGCGCAAAACTGGGTGTTCCCCCTGTTTCCAGAGTCGCTATTTGCATTTTCAAGGTATGAGTTGCTTTATGCATTTTCAAGGTAATGCATTAATCTTAAAGGAGTAGTGACATCATGGGTTTGAGAATTGGCACCTTCTTCAAACGGTAATTTAGGGGTGGCAAAAGAATCTAACGTTCCATCAAAAGGTAAATTCATCCGATCAATCTGCTAAAGATTTAGCGTTAATTTTTTGGGTTGAATCAATTCAGTTGTACTAAATGCAGGGAGTATGATCCATCTATTATTTTTATGATTTTTTAATATTCCATTGGATCACATCGAGAAAATCCTCAAAATCTATTGGAATTAGTGAGTTTTTCACATTTATTGATAAGTTATTACTCTAATGCTTACTATTTATTACTCATAAGTATTACTATATGCATGTTGCCATCGTGTAAATGTCTTGCAAATTAAAAGTATCCCTTAAAAGAGTCATGTTCGAGTGAGACACCATTTTATTTTCCTCCAACTCAATCAAGTACTCGCTTTTACTAGTTATGGTGGTCACTTTACCCCTAAGACTTACTTTCAAGACTGCTTTGAGTAGTGTACTAATAAATAATAATACATGAAATCAAATGCTTTTGTTTTGGGACAAAGTCACAAGGCATTCTTGAAAATGACTCTTTCTTTGGGATGCAGGGAGTCATAAAAGAAATGGATGGGTTATACATTCATTCCTCAGAAAGTTGTTAAGGGAAGGATTTAAGTATTTTATGAACAGGATCATGCTGGATAAGATTTCTGTAAAGAGTATTTAATGGATTGTAAAGAATTTTTTATGGATTACATGGATTAGTGGATTGTTTTCAAATTTCAATCCACCAGATATTATCTGAAAATGAAAATTTATGCAATCCATCCTATTGACACTCTTAAATGGTATCCATGATAAACATATGCTTATTTTGGACATCTACAGTTGTTGTAAGCATGCATATAAATTGCAAATCGTGCACTACTAGGAAAGATGATCACTTGCACTCTTTTCCCGTAGTTGCACAGTCCTTGTACTACATAAATGTTGTGCACGTGTAAATGTGTGTGTAAATGGATTTGAAGGATGGCTTCCTCCACCAGTCCACCAGATTCAATCTGACTAGTGGATGAGCAACTCTTCTAGATCCAAAACCTGATATAAATGTGGTGATAGAGATTAGAGAGATGATTTTGGATGTGATACTCCCTCCGTCTCATTTAAAGGCTCTCCCTGGAGTTTACAATGGTTGACTAGTGATAATTTTTTATGATAATATATATACATATTGATTTTAATGATTAAAATATACATATTCAGAAACTATGTTAAGAGTTCTATTAAATCATGAGAATCAAATAAAAATTGATCAAAACTTATATAAAGTTAAAGATTAAACGACCGTTAAGTTGACCGTGTGAATAATGTAAGAGTTCAAAATCATATCAATAAAAATAGTAGTTTGTGGTTTTACAAAACTTTCTATTAGAAATTTAGAATAAATAAATGCACCAGCAGAAATGACAAATAAAACTGATTTTTTTCTTCTGATAGATACATTTGTGGTTTGTACAGCATTGGGAAAATCCAAAATCTGTTCAAGCGTGTTAGTCTTCAGTTTCATAAGAAAACAAGGGAAGGTGGAAAGTGGTGTGGAGCCTGTACTTTGTCTGGATTCCCAGTTGGGAAGCAAGTGGTTTGGTCACTTTCTCATCCTCTGGGGTAGGGTGGTATTGTTTTTACACATTTTTTGCGCTCTTTCTTTTGCACCAACCATGTGTATCTTTTATCATCCACTCCCACTCCCAGTTTATCTATAGTGCTGTCAATCATTAAGTGTTTGTTTGCTGATTCTTTTTGGATTGTTTTCAATTGGCTGGATTGTTGGAATGATTTTTTCTAAGGTTTGTTTGTTCATTTGTTTAGTAGAATCAATGAAAGATTTTATAAAATGACATGTAAGTATGTAACTAAAACATCATCATGCTTTTAGGCATGATCATAGTGGTGTAGTTGAGAGAAGGGTATGTTGTGTGGTTCCTAACAAGTATTGTACTTGATGGGTGAAAAATAATTTAAGTTAACAGGAGCGAGTAGTGCGATTATTAAGAACATAAAATTATATAATTGATACTAAATTAGCAAGTACAGAGTATCAATTATCAATTATATAATTTTATTTTAGCAAGTTGCATCGATATTGAAGACCCATTCATGTTAGCTGACCTCAAATTCTTTTGGGATTAACATTTGAATGTTGTTGTTGATATTAAATTAGCATGTGTGAATAAAGTAAAAATAAATTACGACAACATGAATATTACTCTCTATGCACTTAAATTATCTTCCAAAGTACATTTAGCATGGGGTTAAGTATTGTGTAAATGAGAAATGAAAGATTATTTTGGGATTGGCGGGAAAGGAAAATTGGAAGATAATTGAGGGACAGGGGGAGTAGGGGTGGGCATTTCGGTTTTCGGTTCTATTTTCTTCGGTTTTGGTTCGGATTCGGTTTAATCTGTTTGATAGAAAATGTACCAAATACAAATCGATTAAATTTTGGTTTTGTTTCGGTTTGGTATGGTTCGGTTCGGTTTGGAGTTCGGTTAATCAAAGTAATAAGGTTTGGATTGAAATAAAAAAAAATTAACTCAAAATAATGAACCAAGATGGGATAGTAATGAATCAAATATAATGTTAGATATAAATTTGCAAACAGTAACAAAACACATATGAACCAAAATATATAAGCATGACACATTTGTAAGCAGCAACAACAACGAGAATGAATCAAATTATATATAAAGGCGAAACAAAGCAAAATTGATGCTTGTAAGTAATGAATCAAATATATAGTAGTAGTAGATAATAAATTATAGTTAAATACTATCTATTTAAACCACTATAATTGTTATAGTTGTGAATGTAACTCTTGTAGTAAACTCTAGTTCTAGACACTAAAATTAAAGAATTAAAGCTTCAAAAAGATGAACATCAATCAAATTAATGAGAGAAATCTTATATTTTGGTTTGGTTTAGTTTGGTGTAAGTTGGTTTTGATTTGTTATTTTAAAAAAATAAGAAATTATTTTATTTTTAGATTAGTTCGGTTTTATTCGATTTTATGATTTTGATATGGTTTGGTTCGGTTTAATACGGCTTGGGAGGAATACTATCAAACTCAAACCAAATTACAAATGGTTCGGTTTCGGTTTGGTTTAATTCGGTTTGGTACGATTCGGTTCGATCAAACCGAACTGTTATGCCCACCTCTAAGGGGAGTATCAAATATATTAGGGAGAACTATCAAATAAGCCCTCGAACTTTCATAAAAAGTGCAAATAAGCTCTTTTATAGGAGGCTCTGTTCGGCCGTCGCCATTTGGGGCGGTTTTCGGTGATTTTTTTTGATAAAATTTATTGAGTATATTTTTCATTGAGTCTAGTTTATTCATACCTAATTTCAGCTAAAAATTCAATCGGGAGGGTAGTCAAATGATTTTTTGAAGATAACTTCGCAGTTAGACATCGCAATATATTTCAAAAAATCATTTGATTTCCTTCTCAATTGAATTTTTAGCTGAAATTTGTTATGATTAAACTAGACTTAATGAAGAAGATGCTAAAAAAAGTTCATCAAAAATTTCTACAGGAAACCGCCCCAAATGGCGAAAGGCGGACAAAACCTCTTGTAAAAGGGCTTATTTGCATTTTTTCAGTTGGATGGCTTATTTGATAGTTCTCCCAATATATTATGAGACAATGGAGTGGTGTGGTGGAGAGAGGGGTAAGATGTGTGGTTCCTAACAAGTCTTGTACAACATTTTTTTTATATTTATAGTCTAATACTTAGTACTTATGATAATACTTGGTACATATGATTTATCTGTTTCTTATAATATCTAATATTCTTTCCGGGAATAACAATAGGTTTAGTTTGATTTGGTTTGAACAATAGGTTTAATTCAAGATTTATGAGCCAAAATATTAAAGTAAACTGAACAATATATATTAATATGGTAGTGGTATTGCCGTTTTAAAAATCATATTAAAAATGATAAAGGAAGGCGGTACTGCGTAACAGAAGATGTATTATCTGGATTTGATATCACAATGGAGTAGGCACATTTAAGGAAAATGGCCTACTTGGTACTTATCCTCATTGTTGAGTTATTACTTATTAGGTCTATAATTCATTGGTCGTGTTATGCCCCAAACCATATAATAAAAGAAGTATTTTAACGCTTTTATTAAGAGAAATTATGTTTAGATAACACCAAATATATGTTATTAATCTCAATGATAATATATTTTATAAAAATTGTTTAAATAATACTCATCACAAAGGAGTACTATTTTTCAATATGTAATGAATAATGAGATCATATGAAGTCACCTACAATAAATCATGTCGTTTTTCTATTATGGAGTATATTGACTGATATTTAATTAATTATTTAACCATTACAAATCGTGTTTATTGTATAAATATTTGTAAGCTACATCTTTACGCTATTTGTGTTATATATTAATGTTTAAAGTGTTGCATATTATTTTGTAATGAAATAAATAGTTACATATTAATTTTCAAATGATGTATCCGAAAAATGTTTGATTTTATTATCAAATGAATTTATAGTTTGTAAAATATGAAGTGTTTGTATTTGATCCCTTGTCTATCAAATCAAGCATATATAATTGTTTCACACCCGCTTTTGGAGAGTTAATCGATCGGATTTGTATCCGATAATGCAACACCATTTCCTTTGGTTATAAATTTATAGTGTTAGGGTGTGTTTGGGAGTTTGAGGGTGTGAGAAGGGGAATGCTTTGAAGGGGAGTAGAGAGAAGGGAAGGGGATGGAGATGGGAAGGGATTCCCTCCTCTTGTTTGGGAGTTGCAAATTTCAAAAGAGGACGGTGTGGGGACTTGAGGGGTTTCAGCGGCGGAGAAATGAAGCGAGTAGCAGCTCATAAAGATTTTATGCGGAAGCGGTTTTAGTTTGAGAGAATAAATCTCTCATTTGCTCGTAGTTAGATTTTATAAAACCCTCAAATCGGGGAATTAGAAAATCAGGTTTTTAAAGGTTTAGAAGGATTTTATAACAACCCCAAAACCCTTTCCTCATATTATTTAAACTCCCAAACACAAATAGGAGGGTTTATTTCCCTCACATGCCTTCTCTTCCCCAAAAACACCCTTAGTGTTATTTGGTTATATGTGGACGGGTGATATTAAACTATTAAATTTCCGTAGTATTTAATTATGTATTCACTTTTATTTAAAATGTACTTTTCTATTACAATGCGAGTGTTTTGACTCTTAAGTCTTAATGAGCAATAAATTTGATAAAAACTAACTAGTGTGAGGAACTGAGTAAGATATTTAAATATTGGAAATAAAGTACGGATGTTAAACAATTTTGGGAAAAGGGTCAAATAAGGTTTTTTAATATTACAGAAACGTCGCATAAGGTCATGTACTCAACAAATTGAGTGTCATATAAATACATCTACTTATAAAAAGCAATCAGATGAGTCCTAATAATAATCTTGGCTAAATATTCCACGCCAGCCTTATAATAATCTATTTTAAAAAGATAGTCAGATCCCTAATGTTGAGATTACGAGGTTGTCAAAAGATCATTAGAACTCATCCAATTTCTTTATAAATGTAGACACATCTATATGACACTTTATTGAGTACATGATCTTATGTGACGATTTCATAATAATAGAAGACCTTATTTGACCTTTTTCTCAACAATTTTCTTCAAAAGATTGCTGTGATCTTAGTAGGGCTAGTCGCATGAATACTTAAGCAATGACGAAGAGCTGAAGAATGATAAAATATCAATACTTGTATTAGTTTATAAGGGAAAAGAGGCAAATAAGTTTACGTACTAACCAAAAAAGGTCAAATAAGCCCTTATATAGGAGGTTCTGTCCGGCTATCACCATTTGGTGCAGTTCCCGGTGGAATTTTTTGATGAATTTTTTGAGAATATTATTCATTAAGTCTAGTTTACCTATGCCAAATTTCAGCTAAGAATTCAATTGAGAAGTCATTCAAATAAATTCTTGAAGATAACTGCGCTTTTAACTGCACAGTTATGTTCAGTAATTCATTTGAATGCCTTCTCGATTGAAGTTTTAGCTGAAATTTGGTATCAGTAAACTAGACTTAATGAATAATATTCTTAAAAACTTTCATAAAAAATTTCCACCGGGAACCGCCCCAAATGACGATGGCCGGACATAGCCTCCTATATTAGGGCTTATTTGACATTTTTTTGTTAGTACGTGGGTAACTGGGCATATTTGCCCCTTTTCTCTGGTTTATAATAACTTTATATAGATATAAAGAAACTTGACCATATGATTTCTTGTACAAACTACCCATGTACCATGTGTATGATGCATGTCCTGATGTCCTTTATTGGAAAATATGGAGTAGTATTTTCACATTTCTGTCGAAATAATTGTTTGTTCTAAAACATGACACTAGCTGTTCATGCTGCATGTTTACGAGTTTATAGTTTATGGTTTTGTCATTTTTGTTTAGTTTATCACCTATTATTATAATATCTGTAATGTTAAACGTCAACATTTTGGCTAAGATGAAATTCAAACATGTGACCCCTACTTAAGAGTAACACAATGATATCATTGAAACACAATGTATTTGGCGCCATTTTGTTTTATAAAAACTGTGTGAGTGTGAAGCAATTACTTGATATCTAAGGGCATATTCTAAATACCAAATTTTAAAGATTTTAAAATTTAGATGAACTCCAATGTTTTAGTTTAGAATTTCAAGGGTTCAATTTTTATTTTATTTTATTATCCCAAGGGAGTCAAGGGGGCAGGGGAGTCTAGGGTAAATAAAGTTGAAACTTTCTCTATGATGTTTCAAATCCGAGACCTTCTATATGGGAGGGTGAGCTGCACTGCT